TGGTGCTCAGTCATGTTGGAACAGGAAGGGGCCGTCCCCAAACTGTTCCCACGAAGTTGGGACATGAAATTGTCCAAATTGTCTTGGTATGCTGATGTCTTAAGAGTCCAAACTTTACACTTGGCACAATGCAGTCAGGCAAGTACCGTTCTCCTGGCAACCACCAAACCCAGACACGTCTATCGGATTGCCAGACAGAGAAGCGTGATTGGTCACACCAGAGAACACGTCTCCACTTCTCTAGAGTCCAGTGGCGGCGTGCGTTACACCACGGCATCCCACGCTTTGCATTGCACTTGGTGATGTGCGGCTTGGATGCAGCTGCTCGGCCATGGAAAACCATTCCATGGAGCTCTCTACGCACTGTTGTTGTGCCAATCTGAAGGCCGCATGGAGTTTGGAGGTCTGTAGCTATTGACTCTGCAGACAGATGGTGACTTCTGCGCGCTTCAGCATGCGCTGACCCCGCTCTGTCATGTGACGTGGCCTACCACTTCGTGGCTGAGTTGCTGTTGTTCCCAGTTGCTTCCACTTTGTTATAATACCGCTAACAGGTGACCGCGGAATATTTAGTAGCAAGGAAATGTCACGGAACATCTGAATCCAATGATTTGGAGGGGGAGGGGCCCAATACTTTTGGCAATATAGTGTAGTGAGCACAATCTTAACTCTAACTTTAGCTCCAACCCAAAATACTAGATTTAACAGTGACCCAAGTCCTAACTGTAACTGTAGGTCTAACCCTAATACTAACCCTGCCAGTGACCACAATCTAACCTTAATACTAACATTTCAGTGACCACCAACCCTAACCATAGCTATCACTCTAATACTAACCCTAAAATTGACCCCCAATTCCAACCCTAACAGTGACCCCCAATCCTAACCCTAACCCATGGCTCTGTAAACACCGCCGGGACTCTGTTTACCTTTGTAAAGCCGACTGCCGCTAGATTGCTTCTATGGGCTGGTAAAGTGTGCCCCCCCCCCACCTGACACCCCCACCGTGTTTCCCAGGCTATGCTGCCCCTCCTACGGGCCCGGGAACCGCCATTTTGGGGTGTTGGTGGGAAGCTGGGGAGGAGAGCAGCTAACGTCCGTTCGCTGATCTCCTCCCCGCTCTATGGGACTGGGAGTGACACGGATTGCACCACTTCCAGTCCCTGAGCTGCCATTTGTCGGCTCCTGAAGCCTGCGATCTGCACTTCAATAGCTTATTTAGAGTGTAAAGGGGACACTAGGAGTCTTTTGGACCCCCAGCGTCACCTTAAAGAGTACCTGTCACTGCAATTATGCTATCACATGGGGGGCATGTAAGCCCCCCTATGTGATAGCAAGTAAAGTTTAAAAAAAGAAGAAAAAAACAGTTTAAAAAAATAATATAGAATAAAATTAATGTAAAAATATATATATATATATTTTTTAAAGGTCCCTGCCCCAGAGATGCGCGTGCATTCACATAAACACGCGTTAGATGCGCCTACGTAGGAAAACGACGAATGCGCTAAACATGTTGGGTACTGCCACGCACACCAGAATGAGAGCAATAATTCTAGCGCCAATATTTACACGTATCTCTAAACTGATGACCTGTGGGGGCTTTTAAAGAGTTGTCTATGGACTTTTTGGGGGTACTGAATTCTGTTGCAGTTTCACAGACGCACGCAATATTTATCCTGGGCATGTTGGGTATCTATTTAGTCGTTGTTACTTCTTTATTTATATTTTATTTAAACAATGGGTATTTAATTGTGTTTTGGGGCACTAAAATTTACTTGAGTGCATTTTTCACTAAATTTCTGGGTTTGATAGATGGTTGCGCCAATATCGTGCAACATAAAAGTTTGCCACTGCCACCATTGTATTCTACAGGTTGTTGGCTTTCAGGAAATATATCATGTTTGGGGGGGTTTGAAGTAATTTTCAGGCCTAAAATGTGGAATATAACATGGGTGCAAATAACGAGGAAAAAAAAGCCTTGGCAGCGAAAGGGTTATCCAGTCTACCAGACAAAGACATTGCTGTGCTTTTCCATCCCAGGGCAAAGCAGGCTTTGCAAACACAGCGTCATGTGACCACCTGGTAATAAATGTTGTCATTAGAAGAGTATAGAAGACACATTGATACTTCATTCCATCCGGAAGTTGATACAAATATTTACAAACATCAGAAACAATTTAAACCCGAAAACAAAATATTGTTTTCTCTGAACGGGGGAAATAAAAGGAAATCACTCGGGTGCCATTTTTGTGAACTGTACATTTATTAGACGTGTTCCAGGGAGGACGTACATGTGTCCGTGCGCTCGCTGATAATTAGGTGATGAACGTTTAACTAGTAAATTACTTTACAGGGGCACAGAGTCTGACCCGGCGCCGGGGGGGTGGGGGGATGGTCACCAGCCGCCATATTTGCCACATTTTTCTAATAACTTGTAAACAAGCTCTCACGGTCTCCTGTAACCCAGCAGAAATCTCCAAAATCCCATGACTCTTTCCCTTTTCCCCTGGCTTGCCAGTGAGGATGAGAGCTGTCTCTTGTAAGGCCCCGTTCACATGTAGCGACTTATCGCGCTATTTCCGCCGCGATATATCGCGCATTTTTGCCGCGCGATATCGCGAGAAGTCGCCGGCCAATGTTATTCAATGGATCTGTCTTAACTCCATGTCGCGCGTCGCTCGTCGCGGTCGCAAGTCGCTTCTACCGGACCCTTTTTTCGGCCGATTTTGCGCGATTTTTCTTTTTTTTCTATGGAGCCCGACGGAGAAGGTCGCGCTACCGTCGCTGGATCGTCGCTGGAACGTCGCCCCGAAAGTCGCGCTATCCCGGCCGCTGCAAAGGTATGTCGCTAGCAGGGGAACGGGGTCTAACTCTACAGGTCGGAGGTGCAGAGGAGTTCAAAGGTCACCTAGAGGGTGGCCGTCCCAGACTGGAACTTCAGAGACACATCTGCACGGGATTTATAGTTCTACCCAATGACAGGACAAGGTTGTTCAGGCCAAAATCTGACCCCCACCCATTAGCTGTGACCTACATGAGTAGCGTAGGCACCCCTCTTGATGGGCAGCCACCTCCTCTGCCTCCCCCCCCTCCCCGGCCCTGTGTTCATTTTTAATCATTTCGATACCGTAAAGATTTCACATTGTCTAGAACAATAGAGGAAATACAATGAACACAACAATGAAAAGACAATGTATCCGCAGCCCGTCGCGGAGCCCTCTTCTGATTGGCTGGTATGAGATCAGATTTATCTATAACATCCACTTATACTATAAAATATTTCTATCTATACAAATCTTTGGTACAAAGCTGAGGCCGCACGCTTCCCCTTTAAACCGACCAGATAGCCCCTCCCTTCTTCAAGGGTCGGTCCTTCCAGATTGACATTTGTCGATTTCTCCTTAGGGCCCATTCACACTGAGGCTCAGGTTCCGGGAACCGGTCTTGTATTTAAAGTTAGCTATATCTTAAAGTGGACCTGTCATCAGGTATATATATACCTCTCTGAGATCACAGTACTCCCCCCTGATATCTGATTTACTCTCCGGCAGAACGGCACCGTGTATGTTCAGGCATCATCCAGGGTCACCAACTTCTTCCCAGGCTGAGATGTCGGCTCAGAGGCTGTGTTCACACATGAAATGTCTGACACAGGCCAGCGCCTGCTGCAGGTAATACAACGTTACAATGTACAGACTGATCACTGGGGGAGGGGGACTGAGGAAATGCTTCCTCCTGCCTGCAGCAGACTGATCACTGGGGGGAGGGGAGACTGAGGAAATGCTTCCTCCTGCCTGCAGCAGACTGATCAGTGGGGGGAGGGGAGACTGAGGAAATGCTTCCTCCTGCCTGCAGCAGTCTGATGACATCATCTCAGCGTGGGCAAAGTCACTGATTGGAACATAAAGACGGCCTGATCGATACTTTGTGTTAGTGCTCTGGAGCAAGTATGTAGGGGTACTGGTTCTGTGTCACTGACTCAAAGTATTGAACCCGGAGGATCAGCATATTAGACATGTGCACTGCCAAAAAATTTGTTTCGTTTCGTTTCGTTTTAAATTCGGATTTGTGTTATTTCGTTTTTCGGGATTCGGGTGTGAAAGTCAATTCGGATTCGGAATTCGGATTCGGACGAAATTCGGTAGCGTTAGTACGAACGTTCGTTTCGTTTTCTGTTCTTATTCGTTTCTTATTCGTTTCGTTCGTTTGCAGCAAAAGTGACATTTGAGGGGGAAAAAATATTTTTCTCCTTCTCTAATGTCACTTTGCTCCAACGAACGAAACGAATAAGAAACGAATAAGAAAAGAAAACGAAACGAACGTTCGTGCGAACGCTACCGAACTTCGGAAATGGAAATTCGGATTCGTTTGCATTCGTTATGTCTGTAATTCGGAATTCGGATACATCCGAATGTCCGAATTTACGAAAATTCGTCCGAATTTCGATTCGGAACGAAACGAATCGCACATGTCTACAGCATATCAGCCGGGCAGCTATCAGTAGGAGGACAGCATTGGCAGTTCCCTCATGACGAAACTTTTTTGTTTCATTTTGGATGGAGCGGGGAAGGGGGGAAGGGTTGGAGCCTCTGTCAGTTACCCAGCAGCCGCACCTTCCCCTCCATGCACACGGCTTGTTTCAGTCACTGAGCGTGCGCAAGCAGATGACATGCGGAATGTGATTCCATCCTCGGGGTTTTTGAACCCCCTTAGATAGGTGAGGTGGCCCAGGACGGCGACACTGAGCAAAGCTAAAATATCTTCACCGATTACCACAATTAATACAAAGATCGATTTGGGGGATTTGGAGGGGGGAGGGGCTCGTAAGATCGGGATGAAGATAGAGTATTCCTTCCAAAGTCTATGAGTGTTCCTCTGTAGATTGTCCCGGCTCATCGGACTCCTGAGCGGTTCATGGCCGGAACAGTAACATTGTAGCGGCGGATTTCCCAAACGTTACATAATGACGATTATAAGTGTGGCGATGAGGACGCCGCCAGTCACTGCTCCGGCAGAATTCCGGATCCGGATGTTCCATGGATAGCGGGGGGGAATTTTCATGGCATCTCCGTGATTCCCGTGGCGTCGCCTTTGGTCTAGAAGAGATGTATACGGCACAAGAATGAGATCAAATGTATCAAATATGCTATAAAGTATATTAAATATAAACCCAATGTGCACTATATTACCAAAAGTATTGGGACGCACATGAACTTTAATGGCATCCCAGTCTTAGTCCGTAGGGTTCAGTATTGGGTTGGCTCCGCCCTTTGCCGCTATAAAGGTGGCCATACACTTTACAACCATCGCAAGACCTTAGTCTTGCGATGGTTGTAAAGTAATTAAAAAAACGTACGATCTGCCCATCTTGGACAGGCAGATCGTACTCTCGATCATCGCAAGCCCGCCCCCCTGAGCGGCGGGCTTCCGATGACCGCAATGCTGAACGGGCAGTGTGCGCGCGCACACCGGCCCGTTTGGCATTTGTCTCCCGAGCACCGCTCCTTAGACAAAAGACGTGCGACCGTACAGTAGAAACGGTCGCACGTCTTCGTTCACACTGCTCGCGGGATTTCCCGCGATTCTCGTACGAGAATCGAGCAGTGTATGGGCTCCTTAACTGCTTCAACTCTTCTGGGAAGGCGTCCACAAGGTTTAGGGGTGTGTCTATGGGAATGTTGGACCATTTGTGAGGTCAGGTACTGATGTTGGGGGAGAAGGCCGGGCTCGCAGTCTCCGCCTCTAATTCATCCCAAAGGTGTTCTATCGGGTTGAGGTCAGGACTCTGTGCGGCCAGTCACGTTCCTCCACCTCAAACTCCCCCATCCGTGTCTTTATGGAGCTTGCTTTGTGCACTGGTGCGCAGTCATGTTGGAACAGGAAGGGGCCGTCCCCAAACTCCTCCCACAAAGTTGGGAGCATGAAATTGTCCAAAATGTCTTGGTATGCTGATGCCTTAAGAGTTCCCTTCACTGGAACTAAGGGGCCAAGCCCAACCCCTGAAAAACAACCCCACACCATAATCCCCCCTCCACCAAACTTTACACTTGGCACAATGCAGTCAGGCAAGTACCGTTCTCCTGGCCACCGCCAAACCCAGACACGTCCATCGGATTGCCAGACAGAGAAGCGTGATTGGTCACTCCAGAGAACACGCCTCCACTTCTCTAGAGTCCAGTGGCGGCGTGCGTTACACCACGGCATCCCACGCTTTGCATTGCACTTGGTGATGTGCGGCTTGGATGCAGCTGCTCGGCCATGGAAACCCATTCCATGAGGCTCTCTACGCACTGTTGTTGCGCCAATCTGAAGGCCACACGAAGTTTGGAAGTCTGTAGCTATTGACTCTGCAGACAGTTGGCGACTTCTGCGCACTTCAGCACACGCTGACTCCGCTCTGTCATGTTACGTGGCCTATCACTTTGTGGCTGAGTTGCTGTTGTTCCCAGTTGCTTCCACTTTGTTATAATCCCAGTAACAGGCGACCGCGGAATATTTAGTAGCCGGGAAATGTCACAGAACACCTGAATCCAATGATTTGGAGGGGGAGGGGCCAATACTTTTGGTAATATAGTGTATAAATATATACTGTATATGTGCCCCCACCTTCATGGCTCTGTAGATCCAGCTCTGGTACTGATCCACCTTGGCGTACACCCCGGGCTTGTTCGGCAGAGCGCAGCCTATTCCCCAGCTGACGACGCCGCTCAGCCGCCATCTTGATGTGCGGGAGATGGTGTCCTCACACACGAAGGGACCTCCGCTGTCACCCTGCAGACAACAAACAGACAGAAGAGGTGAAGGCCATGACCAGCCATATTCCTGGGGTTCCCCCTGTAGAGCCCTCTAAAATGTCGCTATCCAATTTAGAAATATCTGGACTGTAACCAGTCTAGATGTGATTACACAGAGCTCTGCATTCTATAGGTGTCCCTGAATCTGCTGGATTGATTGCTCCTCCTGTTGCTGAGGAAAAGGGAGCCTCAGCATACAGTGAGGGAGGATCCATCCTCAGACTATGACTATGCACCTGACCCTAACCAATCCCTGAGTAGGATGACTCAGAGGTATGGCTGAGGACAGGTAATAAAAGGTTTGGGGACACTGTGCAGAGGTCTCTTCTTCCCCCTGGGGGCCTCTCCCTAGGAGGTCTCTGTGATGCAGATGGAAAGGGCCTGGGCCTCAGCTGGGTGCCAAGTGCTGGGGGCCTGCAGGCCTAGGACTCCATAGGAACTTTGCTTGGGCCCCATACACGTGGCAGGTGTTGGGTGCCTTGTTCTAAGAGGATACTACTACTAACCTGGAGTGCTCCTTGGCAGTTGCAGATGCTGAGGGCACAGAGATTCCAGATACTGAAGAGGAAAAGACCTGATGGAAGCTGGGCCGGAGGTGGAGTCTTCTTGTTGAGGGGTACCGCAGAGGAGCTGGTGAGAGCCTCCGTCTGGGACCCACAAGAGAGATCCCTCCCACTATTCCAGGTGTCTGTTCTAGAAGAAGCCAGCGGTCCTTACCTGAGTCCAGAGATAGCTAACCTTCTCCATATAAGTTACTGGACCATCCTGACTGTTCACAGTATTGTTAAAGAAACCATTGGTCACTCTGACCGGATCCCATTGCTATGGGCCTTAGCGGTTGCTAGGGGAGAAAGCTGTCCTTTGAAGATAATCCGCCAGGGCATCCTACAGACCCCAAATCCTCTCTCCTGTTGACCTTTGCAAATAAATCTACAAAAAGACCCTGAGACTTGAGTCCATTCTGTCGGTGAGTGTCGGTGTGCTGTTGCTGAACAAAGGGGACCGGTGGCTGGGACAAACAGGCAGGAGAACCTCTATTCATATACAGCGGCTCCTTCGGGGGTGAGCGCTACACCCCTTTTTATATAAGAGTCCCCCCCTTTCACATCAGAATCACACTAACGTAGAAGAAGGAAAGGAGGACTGCCTGTGACATGGTCAGCCATATTGTGGGGTTCCCCTTTTTATAACAGAGTCCCCCTTTTCAGATCAGAACCCCCCCCCTTTTACTAGAGTCCCCTTTTACATCAGAGCCCCTCTTTCACTGTAGAGTCTCCTCCTTGCACATCAGAGTCCTTCTTTTACTTAAGAGTCCCCCTCCTTTCACATTAGAGTCCCTCTTTCACTAGAGAGTCCCCTCCTTTCTTATCAGGGTCCCCCTTTCACTACAGAGTCCCCGCTTTCACATCAGAACATCCCCATTTTACTTTAAAGCCCCCCTTTTACACTAGAGCCCCCCTTTTACTTAGAGTACCCTCCTTTCACATCAGAGCCCCCATTTTACTTTAGAGTCTCCCCTTTTAGATCAGAGCTCCCTTTTACTTTAGCATCCCCATTTTATATCAGAGTCCCTCTTTTCACATCAGAGCCCCCCTTTCAATTTAGAGTCCCCCCTTTCACAACAGAACCCCTTTTCACTTTAGAGTCCCCCCTTTCTCCCCAGAGCCCACCTTTCACTTTAGAGTCCCCTCCTTTGACATTATAGCCCCCCTCCCTTTTACTTTAGCATCCCCCCTTTCACATCAGAGCACCCCTTTCACTTTAGGGTCCCCCTTTCACATCACAACCCCCCTTTTCAGTTTAGCATCTCCCTTTCACATCAGAGCCTCCCT